TAGACAGACTGTTTTTAAAAGTTTCATCAGTTTGTCTGACTCATCAGGGTGTTCCAACCTAGATATCCAATGGACGATGTTGTGAAAACGTATTCGAAGATGATTTCCAAATCAATTAGCGAACTGTTTTTTAAAATTGTTCCCCTATTTTGATTTGCTTTGTAATTGGAGGACTTCAAGCTTGTATGAAGATATAAGATGAAGGTGAACTGTTTTTAAACGACTTTTTTAATATTTTAATATTTGGAATCATACGTTTTCACAACACGCCAGTGACGACGAGAGAACTCGATTTATATAAAAATTTTTATCGAAGAGCATCAAAAATACTTTTTTCAAAGATTAGGGCGGTTAGGACAAAACTCCATATAAAACATAGCTGTTTTAAGTTTAAATACGGTTACTGTTTACAAAATTAACTCACGTCCATTTTCCTCCCCGATAGCTGAACCAAAATATTTTATCGTTATGCCCTGCCAATACCTATAAAATAATAGACTATTCCGTTTTGATCGCATGGAATTATGGGAAAAGACATTATTTCGAAAATACTACACGACATCTATGAAAACATTGCAGAAAATTATCCTCGTTTTAAAGAGATTTTTCACAACCAGCCTATAGTTTCTTAGAAAAGAAATAAAAACATCAGACAAATTTTAACAAATTGAAGCGTCCACCATAACATGAAACAACAATGGAGTTTCGTATTTAAGATCGTTGTAGAGATCCTTGATTTAACAAATGTGCCGTAAAGCGTGCCATTTTGTTTTTTTTCCATCCATGAACATGAAAAAACAACAATGGAGTTTGACTGGATCGTTGCATTTAATTTTATTTAACTGAAAATGGACAACTGATCCTTGCCGAATTATGGAAAAAAATCTTGTCTGGAACACGGTCCACCTTTGTGGCATAACAAGCTGAAATGAAAACAACAATGGATGTGTGTGTTTCGGATCGTTGTATTTAACTGTTCGTCCTGTTTGGAATGTTGTTGAATGGTCCGGTCCATTGCTTTTTTAGCTTGAGCTTCTAGATAGACAAAAGAAGAATCAGCAATATTATAAACAACAATGGAGTTTCGGATCGTTGTATTTAACAGAAATGGAAGCTAGTCACCAGGGATGAAGGTGACTTTTAAACATGAGAAAACAACTGAGAGAATGGAGTTTTTTCGAAGATCGTTGTATTTAACAAATGAACCAAAATATTTTAAGCGTCCTATAAAATAATAACATGATCGCAAACAATAATGGAGTTTCGGATCGTTGTATTTAACAAATGGAAGCGTCCACCATAACATGAAAACAACAATGGAGTTTCGGATCGTTGTATTTAACAAATGTAAGCGTCCACCATAACATGAAAACAACAATGGAGTTTCGGATCGTTGTATTTAACAAATGGAAGCGTCCACCATAACATGAAAACAACAATGGAGTTTCGGATCGTTAACAAATAGCGTTTGAAAACAAATCGTTGGAAGCGTCCACAATAACATGAAAACAACAATGGAGTTTCGGATCGTTGTATTTAACAAATGTAAGCGTCCACCATAACATGAAAACAACAATGGAGTTTCGGATCGTTGTATTTAACAAATGGAAAAACAACAAAGCGTCCACCATAACATGAAAAACAACAATGGAGTTTCGGATCGTTGTATTTAACAAATGTAAGCGTCCACCATAACATGAAAACAACAATGGAGTTTCGGATCGTTGTATTTAACAAATCGTTGAAAAACAACAATGGAGTTTCGGATCGTTGTATTTAACAAATGGAAGCGTCCACCATAACATGAAAACAACAATGGAGTTTCGGATCGTTGTATTCCTGAAAACATTCATAGAAGAGGAAAACACCGTTTGTTTTGCAACAAAATTCAAAGAGAAACATCCACAATTTCGACAGAGGTAATAATTGTACTGATTCCCATTTAATATACGCCTCCCAATGTTCCAAACATGACTCGATTTATGTGGGTTGTACAATGGAAGAATTAAATAAAAGATTCAATAGACACAGACGCAATAATGTGACATCAACGAAACTTGTAGAACACTTTATTACAAATGAGTGTAATTTCGACAATCATCTTAAAGTGCACCTTCTGAAAAAGAATATTTAAAATCTAGCGACCTTTCGACCCTTAAAACGCATGAGGATGGCTACGTAATCAAATTATTAACTTTCCTGCTCGGGGGAATAAACAGACTGACAGGAGATTTATACTAAGCTGTTTGATTAATTACTCTTAGTAACTAATCAGCTAACGGAAAATTCCAAGGTAAACAGGATCACCATCATATTAAGCACGTTTCAGTTGCATGCCTTCACGCTGGTGGCGTTTCATTCGTTTTGACGCATTGATTACCACTACATCCGTGTTTTATTTTGTTTTTCACTACAAGACAAGCAACGTTTGTACAAAGACATATGATTTTCATAAATTTACATATCTTAAGTTTCATTTCTGTTGTAGACACATAAACTTCTGAGTCCCAACCAGAGAACTAAAGTCAGATATGGCTTCATCACATTTACCACTGATCAGTTTTGTAAAAAAAAAAAAAAATAATACTAGGATCACACACATTCTACATATATAAAGTTCTTCGTAATGTACATCTGAGTACAACTTTTTGTATTTCTTTAAAGCATGGGCTACCAGGTATCTCTTCAGGGAGCCTATCAGATCCTTTTGCCAATCAGCCCGTGGGCTCCAACTACATCCGGGATTATTGACGTATTCAAGTGCCACATTTTTGATAGTTCCACTTCAAGATCCTTGTATTTTGATATTTTTTGAAGAACTTCACATATACATTACAATCTGCAGGAACTGCTATGTCAATAAGATGACACATTTTCTCCTTGCGGAAACACGATGTCTGGGCGATTAGCTTGGATTATTCTGTCTGTGTGTCTTGTAAAGTCCTATAAAATTGTTACAAGTCCAATCTCTGTAAGTGATTTACATACCAGTTTATTGCAATTTCTTCTTCTTCACTTTCTTCTTCTTCTTCTTCTTCTTCTCCTCCTCCTTCTTCTTCTCCTCCTCCTCCAACTCCTCCTTCTTCTTCTTCTTCTTCTTCTTCTTCTTCTCCAACTCCTCCTCCTTCTTCTTCTTCTTCTTCTCCTCCTCCTTCTTCTTCTCCTCCAACTCCTCCTTCTTCTTCTTCTTCTCCAACTCCTCCTCCTCCTCCTTCTTCTTCTTCTTCTTCTTCTTCTTCTTCTTCTTCTTCTTCTTCTTCTTCTTCTTCTTCTCCAACTCCTCCTCCTTCTTCTTCTTCTTCTTATTCTTCTTCTCCAACTTCCCCTCCTCCTGCTCCTCCTCCTCCTCCTTCTTCTTCTTCTTCTACTCCTCCTCCTCCTCCTTCTTCTTCTTCTTCTTCTTCTTCTTCTTCTTATTATTATTATTATTATTATTAATAATAATAATGTTAAAGGTTTTTCTTTCATCTCTTTTTTGTTACTACTCATCAAAGCACTTTTTTTTTAGGTAATTTTTACATTAATTCTTCAACCGTAAATAAACTTCTCAGCTAACATCAAGTGGAGTCTCAGTTGACAGTCGGTTCACTGTGTCGGATATATATATATATATATATATATATATATATATATATATATATATATAAATTATTGGAGGTACAGAACCGTAATATTGCAAGGAATAGATACAAATTATTTCCTAAAGGCCTTATGAAAAATAAACAATAAGAGATGATAACACTTACAGAACAGGAATAGATACAAATAATTTGTATCTATTCCTTGCAGTATATATATATATAGTCTACTGTTCGTCCTTGCTTGGAATATTGTTGTCACATATGGTCCGGTGCCATTGCTTTTTAGCTTGAGCTCCTTGATAAGATTCAAAGAAGAATCAGAAATATTATAGATCCTGATCTGGCGAGTCGGCTTTAGTCATTTTCGGTAAGCTTGCCTCTCTTTGCCTTTTTTTTTATAAATATTTTCTTGGTAATTTTTCGGGTGATCTCTTCGCTATGGTAGCAAGACTTCATGAATTTAAGCGCAGTACTGGCGTCGAGATCTACTCAATTTACAAAATAGTTGGCTAGATGTAAGCCGTAAATTTTATGCTAACAGTTTATTTTCTCGCACTTCTCGCTCGTGGAACTTCCTTTTGGTTCCATGCTTTCCAGCCAACTTTATTCTGCAGACATTTAAATGCAATGTCAATCGCTATCTACTCTCCTCCTGATTACACTTTTCTCTTGGCACTCATTATTAATGTTTCTGTTCCTAATTCTTCCATATCCTGTAACTCCTTGTGTCTTAGTGGCTTTACTGCATTGCTTCGAGTGATAACGATAAAAAAGACATGGAGCTAAAGAATAGATCTCCCGATGAGAGTTGAACTTGTGAGCTTATCAGACTATGTCAGCTCTTTATCCATTAGGCTACTCAGCAAACTTCATTAAAATTAAGGTACTTAAGTGTACCGTCTTTATTAACTAATAAAGTTGTAAATCCCAATGCGAATAATTAATGAAATCAAAACTATTTTTTTCTCCTTTTATTTCTGGACAGGTTAGTTGAAATTCGGCTAACGTAGCATCTGAGCCGGTTACTGCTATTTTACACGAGCCTGCGACGAAATAATATCTTTAAAACGGAAGGGAACATTAGGTGAGTCTGTTTTCTTTAAGAATCAATCAGAAGTAAAATTTCTAGGGTGTTGGCATCTTGCAACTGCACTTGGTAATTTTATATTGCGTCATTTAACTCACACCAGATGCAGTTTGTGTAAGTTGCAGAATGCATTATGGGTAAGGAGGGGGAAAGGGATATTTTTATTGAAATAATGAAATAAAGAAGGATTTAATGACTCTGAAAAGTTGTGAGCATTCGACCGTCTTATATTTCTAAGAAAATCATTAAAATATATAGAAGAGTAAAAGGTCCTTTGGTAGTTACATAGCATCCCATACTGAGTTTTTGATAAGTAAAGGAAAGAAGCGATGTTAAAAAAGAAGAAGAAGAAGAAAAAAAAGACACAAGAAGAAGAAGAAGAAAGAAAAGCAGCAAGTGTAGTAGTAGTAGTAGTAGTAGAAGAAGAAGAAGAAGGAGGAGGAGGATATTGGTGAATAAGATGAAGAGAAGAGAAAGATAGAAATAATAAAAAAAAGATGGTGAAAAAAAAGCAAAAAAAAAGAGAAAAAGAAAGAAGGAAAAGAGGAAAAAGAATGAAAAAACAGACGATAGGTAAGAAGAAAATAGGGAGGAGGATGACGGAAGAGAAAAAGAAAAAGAAAAAGAAGTGTGAAGAGAAAAAGAAGAAGAAAAAGAAGTGTGAAGAGAAAAAGAAGAAGAAGAAGAAGTGTGAAGAGAAAAAGAAGAAGAAGAAGAAGAAGTGTGAAGAGAAAAAGAAAAAGAGAAAGAAGAAGAAGTGTGAAGAGAAAAAGAAGAAGTGTGAAGAGAAAAAGAAGAAGAAGTGCAAAGAGAAAAAGAAGAAGAAGTGTAAAGAGAAAAAGAAAAAGAAGTGTAAAGAGAAAAAGAAAGAGAAAAAGAAGTGACAGAAGAAGGGGTGAAACAAGAAAAATAAAAGGATGAAAAAGAATAAAACGCCGAAGAGAAAGAAACGAAAAAGATGATGATGATGAAGAACAAGAAAGGCTGTAAAAAGAAGAAGAAAAAAGAAATTGAAGGAAAGCAGTGAAAGAAAAGGTGAAAGAAAGAAGACGTGAACGAATTAGAAGAATAAAAGGATGCAGTAGAATAAAATGTAGAAGAAGAAAGAAAGAAAAAAGAAAGAAAGAAAAAGAAGAAGAAGAAGGGGCAAAAGCAAAGAAGGAGAAGAATAGAAAAATAAATGAAGGCAAGAAAAAGAAGAATGAAAAAAGTCGTAAGAAGACAGGGAGAAACAGATGAAAGATAAAAATAATTAGAAACAAGAAGAAGAAGAAGAAGAAAGAGAAGAAGAAAAAGAAGAAGAAGAAGAAAGAGAAGAAGAAGAAAAAGAAAGAGAAGAAAAAGAAGACAGAGAAGAAGAAGAAGAAAGAGAAGAAGAGAAGAAAAAGAAAGAAGAAGAAGAAGAAAGAGAAGAAGAAGAAGAAAGAAGAGAAGAAGAAGAAGAAGAAAGAGAAGAAGAAGAAGAAGAAACAGAAGAAGAAGACGAAGAAGAAGAAGGAGGGAGAAGAAGAAGGGAGAAGAAGAAGAAAGAAGAAGAAAAAGAAGAAAGAGAAGGAGGAAGAAGAAAAGAAGTAAGGAAGGACGGGAAGAAAATTAATAATAGGGAAAGATGAATGAAAGAAAGAAGGAGCAGCGACAGAGAAGGAATAAGAAGAATAAAAGTTTATAGAAGAATAATATGGCGAAGAATAAGAGAGAAGATGAAGAAGGGGTGAAAGCAAACAAGAAAAAAAAGAATGAAAGAAAAGAAGAATATAGGTAATAAGAAGAGAGGACAGACGAAGATGAAAGAGAAAAATAGATGTAGAAGGAAGAAGAAAGTAAAGGAACAAGTAGACGAAGGAGAAAAAAAAAGGAAAGAAAGAAGGGCCAGAAGAAGAAAACAAAAAAATAAAATGAAGGAAAAAGAATAAATCGCAGAAGAAAAAGGAAAGAAAAAAATGAGCAGAAGAAAAAAAAACGAAGGAATAAAAAGAAGAATATAGAGAAATAAGACGTAGGAAAAAATAGAAAAATGAAGGAGAAAGAAGTGAAAGAAAGGGGGAAGATGAGAAAGACAAGGGAAAGAGAGCGAAAGAAAAAAGAAGAAGAAGAAAAGAAGAAGAAGAAGAAAAAAAGAAGAAGAAAGACGGATGAAAAAAAAGGAGGAATAGAAGTGAAAAAAGAGGGGGAAGGAGAGAAGGAAAAGGAAGGAAAGAGATGATGAATGAAGGCCAGACGAAGGTTGGAAGAAGAAAGCAAAAAAAAAAAAAAAGAAGAAGTGGAATAGAAAAGAAAGCCTGGACAAACGACAAAGAAAGTAACGACGGAAAAATATATAAATAATGGCGAAACAGAAGAAAAGGAAAAGAATAAATTAAGACGAATAAAAGAAAGAAGAAAGGCAAGAAATAAAAGAAAGAAAGAAAGAAAGAATGAATGAATGAAAGAAGAAATAAAAGAAGAAGAAGAACAGAAAAAGAAATAAAGAAGAAAAAAGCGAAAGAAACAAAGCATAAGAAGGAGAAATAAAAAAAAAAAAAGAAGAAGAAGAAAAAGAAAAAAAGAACGAAGTAGGGTAGGTAAATGAATGAATGAGAAGATGAATAAAGGCACGGTAAAGATAGGAAAAGAAAACGAAGAAGAAGAATAAAAGGCAACAGAAGAAGAAGTAGTGAAAGAAAAAAAGAAAAAGTTGAATAGAGAAGAGAAAAGAAAGCGTGGGCAAACGACAAGTAAAGAAGGAAAAAAGAGAGACGGAAAAATATATATAAATAATGGCGAAACAGAAGACAGGAAAAAGAAATTAAGACGGTTAAAAGAGAGCAGAAAGGCGGGAAAAGAAAGAAAGAAAGAAAGAAAGAAAGAAGAAGAAGAAGAAGAGTGGAGCTCATTTTACTTATTAGCAAGAAGTTAGATTTTACAAGCCTCGCGCGCAGTTGCAAAACGATGTGGGGTTCCGGATATTGAGATTGATACGCCGAAAGAAAACAGATTTTGCGACTGAATATGACTTCACTTAAAAACTGACCCAAAAAGACACGATAATTTCCAATGATGATATGCTAGAAACTACACCGTTTTTTTCTTGATGTCATCGATTAATCATAGAGGCAATTGCTCACGGTTTGACACGTACACGCAGACATATATATATATATATATATATATATACAACTCGTACAACAAAAAAAATTTCTAAAATTACCATATTAGTAAAAAACGCCCTGTCTTAAATTTTAAATAAAAAAGAATCAACCTTAGCGTTGCCCCTGCACGCTGCAAAATTTCATATCCGTTAAGAATAACACATTTCTAAAAAAAAACATATTTCGATTATCATTTAATCTTTCATGTCCCGCTACTACCTGGATTTACTAAAAAAAAAAAAACAAATTAATTTCCATGCCTGAGGATGGCTGTAAGTATAGCTGAAAGTACTAGCAAAATAAAAAAAGACCCTATACAACTTAAAACAAGGGTCATAACATTCATCGAGAGGTTCGTGGGTTAATGTAACTTTAATAAATTTGTTTGCGAAGATGTTTTTCGCCATTTAGATTATTAACTTTACTAATCTACTTTTTGTATGAATGATTCATGTAATATAAATATATATATATATATATATATATATATATAATCTCTTACTATAAAGGTAATTTACATTAACCAGAAAAAAAGGCTTAGACAGAAGCGTCTATCTTTTTAAATTTGGATTTTTTAATGTCATTATAACAACAAAAACATTTCGGTTTCATTTTTGCCTTGAAAAAGTCGGAAGACGAAACGCGTCGGCAAAATGTAAGATTTTTTTTTCCAATTGTCATTTGATACCAATCTGTCTTGTCCACAGAATTCATCTGGGAATTTAACTATCTATCTATCTATCTATCTATCTATCTATATATCTATCTATATATATATATATATATATATATATATATATAATGAAAGTATTTTTGTTGCAATAGATTACTATAAAAACATTTTACAATGCTACACAAGAAATTTCATGTTTCGAAAGTGTAATCCTTCCTCTTCGGTCGATGGTAGATAACATATAATAAAAATGATTTATTTAGGAAATTTGAAAATAAATCTTTACTTCTTTTCAAAGTTCAAAAGGTTGGGTGGAACCTATTGTCAGAATTAACAAATTCAATTAATCCAGACATGACCCCGAGCATATTTGTCAATGATACATTTTCAAATATTCTCTTTTCCACAGTTACGCGACTAGTTTTAAATTCTGGTATTTTCATGTTTGATGGAATTTCAAACTTTTGAAAACAAAAAACAAAACAAAAAAAAAAACAAAACAAAAAAAAACAGTTACACAACTATCTATCTAATAATATTATTAGATAGATAGTTGTGTAACTTTTTTTTAGGCTGCCTAGTAGCCACCCTAGTAGACGGGTTTCCTCGAATACGAGTAACAAATCCCTATTGCAGACACTCGCTCAGGCACATTTGTGTTTTGTTCAACACAGAGCCCACCCGTGGTTTATAATGCAACTATGCTGAGCAGACCTTAGTTACAGTTTCTGGGAAAGAGCGTGTTATCTAGCGTGATCAACAATCTGAACAAGGCCAGCGCACTCAAACCCTGGGCACAACTATCGACTACTCTATCGACCCCATTTATCTCACAAAGCTTGGGTCAACCTGTGGTATGGTTTTCCAAAGTTGCTGCACGCAGGGATCACCCCGCGTCCAGACTGACAAAATCAACCGTGGTGAGATTCGATCCCGGGTCTCATGGTTAGAAAGTCAACCTTCTAACCACACGGCCACTTATAAAAAAGAAAATAAAACAATGCTAATTAAAAGTGAAAATAATTGACTGAGAAAAAATGTTTAGAAAGAAAAAATGTTTAATCCCTAAGATCATCCACAGTAAATTTTACTCAGGCTCTTACAAGGTTTCGCCATTCTTGACTGATCTTGTTATCAAAGTGTGGGATATTGAACAACAAAGATAGCAGAAACAAAAAAGAAAATGGATCTAAATGAAATTGCCTAGATTATATGCCCAAAATACATTTAATTTTTTTTTTTTTTTTGCATGTAGTCCTATCAATGTAATTGTAAAGAAACCTAGTTTGATGAAGTCAAGTGACAAAACGTGTCACAAAAACTTATTCTCACTATTTACATTATTCGGACTATTGTCCTCATCTTTGTCGCCATATTCATTACAACGTTTCGGTCGTTGTACGCTCCGGCCTTCTTTAGGTAGTTGTAATGTTGAACTCAACCCTTTATTTCGCTCACTCGAGTAGACTGTTCTAGTTCCACGTGCCATGTCTAACGGATGTCAGTTATCTCCTGTTAATTTACCTCTCCA